CTTTCCTTCCTCAACTCAATACATTGTCAACAAACAACTTGCCAACTTTACTCAACCAATCCGAGTTTCACTTTTTCATCTTCTTCCTAAGCTCATCAATCAAGCCCATCATTCAACTCAGCCTTAACCTAAAGGTCTTAATGTCTTGCATCAAACTCAATCCTCACTCAGCCTCTCGAGTGTCAACAATGAAAAGGCAAAAGTGTCCATTTCTTGTGACATTTAAGCAAGAGTTTCAGTTCCTATTTAGATGATCATCCAGAGGCTATAAACTCGAAGTTCAGCTCTGAATTTCTAATTGTAAGGAATTTGAAATTTACAATCAAATATTCGGTTCTTGATTAACTCGCAAGGTGGCGCCATTTAGATTATCAAGTTGAGTGAAAATGCAATTTCAATGTTAACTTGCAAAGTGATTCTGATTAATTGAAGAATCGGAAAATTCAAGAGATTTTGATATTGTCTCGACGAAAAAGTTCAGTGAAAAATTGCTCTCTAGTCTTTGTTTTGTTGCATGAACTTTCAAGTGTCAGTTTGACCTTTTTGACCATCAACTGAGACCCTTGACCATTTATTTGGATTTTTATTATTGCAACTGTTTCCGGACTTTTTTTCAGTCTAGTTAATTGTCGTAAGAAATTAACTTTTTCAATCGATTATGATAACAAATGGTTAAATTTGATTTGTCCTTTGATTGATATTATTCTTGCCTTTATTCTTGACTCTTCATTCAACTGGATTCAGATTGATGTAATAGAACTGGTTCAACTGTTTAGTTTTCATAAATCACAAAAGTTGAACCCAATAACCCAAGGAACCAAATGGTGAAAATGTGGATGAAGAAAAGTAAAAAAAAGAAAGAAAGAAAAGAAATAAAAGTTCAAGATCGCAACTGAAAAGCAATAACAATGAAAATGGTTTTGTAGCGATTCTGTGAAAGCCACACAACATTAAAATGATAAGATTGATTGTTCGGTTGAGGATTTAACATTGAATGTCACAAATGAGACTGAATTTTTGCCATTTGATCGAGACAGCAAAAAGGAGACAAAATTTGCTGATGAAAAAAAGTGAAAAATCTTTTCATTATTTTTCGTCTATTTTATTTTACTTTTAAAGTAATGACTTGAATTTTGTGGTTCAAACAAAAAAAGGCAAAAGCCGAACATTTGGCAACTCGAGTTTAAAGAGATTCGAGGAAAAGGATGGAAGCTCTCAACTAAACGTTGAATACTTGAATCGATTGAAAAGAAAGATAAGCTTCATCATGATTCAAGTCTATCATGGAAAGCAAATGAATACACTTTTGAACGATTTTCATCAGATAACCATTGTTATAAGCGATAATAACCTTGATTATTGCTAATTTTTGGCACCATTTTTGTTGAGTATTCATAACGAGTCTATTAACACTTGAAGAAAGTTGGAAAAAGAGTTTCATTCTTTCATGTCACGAACTTTTCAATTCATGATCATGTCGTTGGTTGTTGAAACAAAGCGATCTTGTTGAACAAATAGCAAAGTATGGCACAATTGCCATTTGCCATTTGCAAGTTTAAAGTACATTCATTGTTAAACATCATTCTTTTAGCATCAATTTCAATTTATCATCCATTCATTTGAAGGAAACATATTCAACAGAATAAATTATATTCAAATTTTCACCCAATCAATACTGGTGAACAAAAGAATTAATTATCCATTTTTCCTGCTCATTTTCATTTAGATTACTCAAACCTTCTGATTGAACGATAACATAACATTAAGTTTAATGTTAGGATCAACTTTAGCCATTGATATCAGTTAAACTCTGATGGATCAAGTTTAGTCAATTTTTGTCACACAAAGTGTAAAGTGATGATCTTACAATTATGAAAAACGCAACTCAACCAGTTCAATTAAATCTTGTTTAATATTTTTACTCGAAGTCTTTGCTCTAGAGTTGCCCGTTATCCATAATGATATCGATAATTTTCGGTGATTCAGCTCACATTTCGGTGAAACAAGAGTTGAAACCTGGAAGGTCGATCCGACTTTGGTTCAAAATTTATCAGCATGATTTCAAGAGACTTGAAACCAGTGCAAAAACTTTTTTGATGTGAATTCTGATAAACTCTGTCAGGAGTAAGAAAATTTTTGAGTTCGGAGTCAATAGAATGACAGAAAATTGCTAGTGTCATTCATTGATAAAATTCCCTGAAAATTTTTGATTAACTCGGCAGATCTCAGATGAAAGATAAATCTTTCTTGTTGAAATAATAATGTAAATGATGATCGGCAAACTTGAATAGACTGTCATTGTCAGAATTGATTCAACTCTTGGTCCAATTCTGAGCTTGAAGCTGGGAATAAGAGCAGCAATTGAAACTTCAATAAAGCATGAATCTGATTCAGCACAACAATGCAAAATTAGTCATTTACTGATTTATGGTTTAAAGGAATGAGCTTGGTGAGAAACGTGAGCTTGTATCGCCAACACGTACTCCAATGGACAAGGAAGAAGCAAACAAAACTGACCCTGAAAAGTGATGAGGAAATGTAAACTTGGATTGTTGTAAATGAGCCGTTTGCTTGACAAAAATTAGATTAACCTTTCATCATAATAGCGATGATACCATGAAATGTAGAGATGCTTCTCATCCAATTAATCATTTCCATCTAACAATAAATCATCTCCTTCTACCTTATCATGCATTCCAAGTGCAATTTAATTTAGATGGATGAACAAAGATTGGGCAGAATCAATCAGTATATAAATGAGATGAGGCAGTGTTAGGTGAAGAAAAAAGGTGCAATAATAATGTGAATAAAGTCAAAATTTTTCTCAGTTTTTCTTCTTTTCTCTATCTTGATCGAAGAAACAAGAAACTGTTGATGATTATTTGGCAAGAAAAATGTTGAAATTGATCATCATTTACATAATGATAAACATGATGAATAAATAAGTGTGGTCACTCCCTTGACCAATGTGGCCATTAAAACATGTAAAAATGCAATGAAACTTTTCTGGTGGCTTCAACTCTTAACAACAACCTTGTTGCACCTTGTAATGAACCAGAATTGATCAAGTTCATGTTTTCCTTGATAATGATGATGATGATTAACATAATCATCATCAACTTAACACCATCTACCAGATTAGCTTGATGATAACTCGGCGAATTGATCAAGATGAATTTGAAAAAAGAACAAAAGCCTTTCCCAAAAAAAACTCTTTTCTTCACTTCTTTCATCTCAAGTTGACCATTAATAGATTACAAGTTGAACAAGGTTTCATCTCATTAACAACTTGTTGATGTTCATGTTTCATGTCTTTCATTGTTGAGCCTGAAATGTTGAGTGCAAAGTGTCTTCCAGTTATCAATATTTAATTGCAATAATTGTGTGTTCATAAACAAGATTAATCTTTAACTTTGCCCATTCTATTGATTTCAAGTCAACTTGAGTAATGAACTTGTCATTAAACAATTTTTTAATGTTGACAATGAATGATAATTGAATTTAAATTGTTAATGTTGGCCAGAGAAAGAAGTAAAATTATAAATTCAATGCACAAACTAAACTTTCATGATAAATCAACTGTTGATGAGATGAAATTTTCCTCGCGATTCCAATTGTAATCAAATTAGATTCATTGACACGTTCAAATTTTTTGCTAATTTTCAAGTTGTAAGTGATTCTTTATCACCATTATCATCATGAGAGGTTATCCTTTTCTGATCAATGATGAGCCTGAACATGATGATGGTAATGTTGGTTATGGTGAGAAGAGAGTAAAGAAATGAAGAGGGTAAAGAAGAAGAAGAAAAGAAGAGATTTTTTTTCTCTTCTCAAGTCAAAGTTGAATGGAAGAAGCAAGAGAAAGATAATGAACAAGATTCTGATTTTAATGGTACTTCTTGAGGGAATCACGTTTATCATCTTCATCATTATCATCATCATCAACAAGGGAAATGCTGCCACAGGCAAAGGTGCTCAACAAGATGAAACAAGGTAAGAAACTAGGCTTCTCTCTCTACGCTCCTCCAGGCTGTTCGATCCACCCTCTAAACAAGGCGTTCATTTTAATGCATCAAGATGATGATTAAAGATGAAGAGGGAAACATCGACCAATGTGATAGACACGTTTTGTTTCTCAATTTTTCACCGTTTCGCTCATAAATTCATCTACAAATTGTCTTGAAATAAACTTCATCAGGATTTACCTTTTTTTGCACTTCTTTTTTGTCTTAAACTTTTGATTGTTGCATTTGATTATTTCCAATTGAATCCAATTGCGGTTTCATCAATCACAAATCAAACTTAATCTAACCTTTTTATCGACACTTAATCGCGATTTTAAAGATCAAAACATTCACAAACTTTATCATTACAAAGAGATTAATCAAGATCCGGGTTTTCTTTACTTTCATTGCTAATCATAGACTTTGTTTTCCTACTGAAACAAGAGAAACCAGGTAAAAGGAAAAACTTTTCAACTTTTCTCTCATCTGTGGCTTGGCGATTATCGGCTCATCTTGAACTTTTTTTACAGCATTTCTGTCCTTTTCTTGTTGTGTTTTCATTTTTTTGTTTTGTTTCTCCCTTCCATTAAAAGAGAGAAGATGATGAAAGATAATAATGGTGATGGTGATGATGATAGGGAATTTGCCTTCAAGGTAAAAAGGTAAAGAAGACAACACATAATTTCAAGAGAAATGAAGAATCATGGAGAAACATGTTCTCTTGCCATTATTATACACTTTTCACTTTTTCTGCCTTTTCATTTAACAAACATATTCTTTATCAAATCAACAATAAATATCAATAATTTTACAAAAATATTGTTACTTTCAATCGTTCACTTAACATTCATCTTTACTGATGAAAGCAAAGTGATGCTGATAACAAGTTTCCTCTTGTACATCATCATTATCATTACGTTGATTATTATCATCATCATCATTTACCATCATCATTATCATCACCAATTCTTATTACTTTTTCTTCTTCTTCTCTGTCTTATTATCTTTTCTAATTTGTACAATAACAATGTTTTCATTTGGATCGCACTTTTTTCCCTGTCCATTGGCATCAAGATGCTTGTTGGCTTTTGTTTGATTAAAGAAGCAACAATTTATACCAATTGCAATGGACTGAGTAATGATGATGAGAAAAGGGAAGAAAAATAAATTAACTTTTTGCTTTTGTTCAGACGAAAAATGATAACTCAATATTGACTTAATAAGGGAAACCAATAGAATCATCATTATCAACAGGATATGGAAAATGAGTTATCATAATTTCAGAGTAATTATGAGATTGTCATGCAATGTTCATCAAAATTTTTACCTTGGTGTAAGTTTAAATAGACTTTCACGATCAATGAAAAATGCTTCCAATAGCTTGTGTTTAATATTAGACTTTGGATAATTTTTACCTTTAACTTGATAATGGTTTCAACATTTGCAGATTCAGTTCGTGATCAAGATAAATATGAAGGCAAGTTGAGGTTGAAACGACACTTTTGCAATTCTGAGTACTTTCGGGCTCCAGCGAGTTTCAAATGGCTTTTGTTTAACTAGAGTTGATCAACTTTGCGGTACTTTCAGTCCTTTTATCGTCTATCCGGATTCGTTTCCAAATGAGCAGCTTGAACATTTGAGGTCAATTTTCTCAGGTTCAGGTTTTCGAAAATTTTTATGAATCTGTTCCTTGAATGAATCTAGTTGAGGTTCATTTTCGGTTCGTGCTGATTGGGTTTCAGTTAAAATCAGTGAATTCAGTGAATCGATTCTCAGGAAGGAAATTATATTTTACCATAGAACATTTTTCAAGTGAAAATTGAGATTCTTTTATCAGCCGCACAAAAGATATTGATGATGGAAGCAGAAATTCACATGAAGGTTCATGAAGATGGGGATAAAAGAGAGAAATAAAATATGTACTTTTCAATTGGAATCAAGTTATTCATCCATTTGCAAGATTATTTTTCCATCTTGAAATTCGAAGCTAATTTCTTTTCTTTCCTTTTCCTGGATTCGTTTCCATTTTATCGCTTCTCAGTTCATTCCAAGAATTACTTTATAAGAAATGAAAAAATATATTCTTTCACATTATCTCTTTAAACACACAAAAGAATTCAAAAAAATTATCTTCGTCTTTGAAGAAGAAAAAGTGTTCAGAATTTTGCTGAGGAATTCATTCTCTGAGAATTTCAATACTTACACATTTCCATCAACCAATGAATTTTCATTTAAATAAATATTCTTGTTTTGTTTTTGGTTTCCGGTTACAATGAAGGTAAAAATGGAAGCAAAAAATGATGAAAAAAGTTTCAATTTTTTTCTTTTTTTCCAAATTCGAAGTATTGAGGTGAATGAAGATGCAAAATCTGAATAGACTCTTCAGTTTTCTTTTTCCATGCAGTTCCATGTTGAATGATAAACATCGTTTCCATGTCAATAAGTAGCTAAGCTATTGTAAATACAGAAGAAGAAAAAATTATGACAATCGCATGAGAATTCAATTGTTCAATATTATTCAATTGTAATCGATTCCGTTTCTTACCTTGTTATTGTCATTCCTTGAACCCTTTCTTGGGTCCAATAATTTGCTTCATATTTTTTCCCTGCAACTCTTTTCGCATGGAAATGCTTTTCTCAAGAATCAACAGAATTTGAAAACATGAAGAGAAGAGAAAAAAAATGAACAAAAAATTTTCCTTTTTCTTGAAGCTTCTTTCATTTTGCTATTCATTTTTTGTTTCACTAAAAGTTGAATAAAAATGTAAAGAAAAATGTAAATTCCCAAGTTCCCATGGTGAATGTTCCAATGGAATAATCAAGTGAAGACAAGTTTTTCATTCATTTATCTCCGGGCAATTCATTAGATTTGTACATGATACTGTTACATGGTTACGACTGATTTTCAGATGAAATGTTCTGAGTTTGCAGGAAAAGAAATAAAATTGAATAAAAAAAGAATAAAAAACAAACTCTTTTTTTTGCAAATTTTTTGCTTACAATGTGCATGATTAATGCGACCATTTCAATTTGATATTATTTTGCTGATTAAAGGCCATTTGAATAAACTTTAACAAATGAGAGGGAAAATTGTTGAAGTCAGTCGAAAGCAAATTTTGAATTTTGTGATGCTTGGCTCAAAATTTTGCTTCTTTACCATGAATTTATCATTCCATGACAAGTTTAATCTTTTGAATATTTTAACGATCCATTTTCTTTCACTTTTTAATTTTCAATCAATTGAAAATTGTTTTCCGATGAATAATTTAAATTGGGACGAGTAATTTTCAATGAAATCATTCAAGATTCATTTCTTGTGTAACTATTGGCCCAATCGACTTGCAGATGATTTCCACTTAACTGGCAATTTGTGTGATGAGAAAGCAGTTTGCATTGTAAGTTGAACAGCGTTAATGTCGATCACAATTTAATCTTAGGTTGATGTTGGTTGATGGGTTGGTTCATGGTGTAGTTTGGTATAGTTTATCATAAACACACAATAGAAACCAAAGAAAGATTCAAAATTTGACTTAACACCATTCAAGATGAGCTTAAGGTTGTAAAAATGATATCAGGTTCAGTTATTCAAATTGTAACGCCATTCAAATAAACCAAGAGTAAATGTATGAATACAAAATTTTATAAAATGAAAGCCATTGCCAATGAACTGTATCACAACTGGTCCAAGCAGATATTGTCAATGAAACTGTCTTCCAAACGCAACCAGAGATCCTAACAAAACGTGCCACTTGACCTGTTAAATGAAGGGTTAGACCATTTCAAAAACCACAATATTTCACAGTTTATACAATTGTCACATATGTATCTAATTACCAGCAATAAACCGTAAATATTTCCTAATAGAAATCGGAAAAATCAAAAGTCTTCTTTGCAGTTGCGATTCCGGGTTAGTCCTTCCAAAATAACAGTTGACCGTAGACCACACAGATGAACCAGTAGAATTACCATTTAATATACATTTAAAGCCACTTAAAACTGTCGGAATAATCAAAATGAAAGAAAATTAAAATTAAAACGAAAAAATAAACAGCGAAAAAAGCAAATCAATTACACAGCAAAATTACATAAGATTACATAAAGACCAGAAATTAGGCAGAAAGAGTTGACAAGCAGCAACGCAGTTGCTAAGCGTTTCTAGCGGTTCATTCAAATTACCCAACAATTACAATCAAACATGAAAATTTGAGAAATTGAATTTTCTAATAAACAAATCATGGAATCGAGTTCATTCCAATTCCTTATAACCACTCATTCGTATCAAAAGAGAAACACAAAAAATTCGCTAATTTCCAAATCTCAGTCTTGCCTGAACAGAATCTAACAAAATGAGAAAATGCAATTAGATTTATGTCTCTAACCATTTATTCATCAACATGAATTTCTCATTGGAATATTGATTAAAAGTTCATGACAATAGCCTTCATTTGCCCGTTAATAATGAAAATGTTCACCTTGAAATCCATTGAAAATGGATGAACACTTGAACCTTAATTCTAACCCTTTTAAGGAAACTCTTTTTTTCGCTCTCATTAGAGGCTTCACTAAATAGCAGTTCATTATTAATTTGAATGTTTCATCTTTAATTCTGTGAAAACATGTAAACACACTTAAGACAATAATGATTATTAACACTCTTCCATTCCTCATGAGATTATTTTAATTGAATCTTTTTACACCTTTTCCTTCTTATCCATTCCCTGTTAGAGGTAAATGAAATGAACAAACAACGAGAAAAAAAAGAAAACATTTTTACCAGAAAAAAAGCCAAATAATTCAGACACAAATCATGGTAATTGTTTTCAAGTTGAACTTCACAACAAATAACATTTCATGTTAACAACGAATGTTTCAACAGAGAAAAGCAAATTAGCTTTTAAATTTGAAACAATTTCACCACAACTGAAAAGTTGAAACAAAAACCTAATTGTGACAACAAATTCAAAAAAGATTTCATGATAATTCATCTTCAATTTGCCAACTTAAATGAACTTCAAACAAGTTTTTCCTCTGAATCCTAATCATGTTAATGATACAAAAAACAAGTAAAAGGTTAACAATTTGACTGACAGTTTATCTGATTATAATTATCAGAAGTTATTATTATTTTCAATTAAAAAAAAGTCAAAAGCAGTGAACTTGTGAAAGATGAAAATATAATGAAAAAATATGATGGAAGTGAAGCAGAAAAAATGGAGTAAAAAGTAATTTTTTTGTTCCTTCGAACAACTTTTCTCTCTCTGTCAGGATTCCCAGGGTAAACAGTTTCAGAAACGGAAGTGACAGTTAAAGGTACAAAAGGGTGATGAGGAAGTGAAACAAGACAAGTTGAAAACGCCTTTTCAATGTTATCTAATGAGGATTCCCATGTAAAGGAAGAAGCGAAAAGAATCTTTTTTTAGCAAAAAAAAATGATTAGAAAATTGTTAGTCAAAAATTCATTCCAACCTCAGACTTGATGGGACTAAAGGTTCAACTGTTTCAATATCAACCTTTATCATGTAAATTTGAGAAAAACTTGCCATTCTTCAACCTTCAATATGATTTATCATGAAATTGGTTGTCAGAATAGAGTGATAATGACACTGATAATGAGTGTTAAAAAAGATGTCTCTTCCGAGTTTGATTCTGTCGAAGGTTCAAGAGGAAAACACTCCTTTGGATAATTATCAACAGAATAGGAAAATCAATTGATTTGGTGAATCTTTAGGTGAGGTTCTCAGCACTTGAAGTTTTCCCTTTAATTGATAACCTGTCCAATTCATAAATGCATGATCAACGATTCAGCCTGCAGGAGCAACGAAAATTGATTCAATGATTTATGGTAATGATAAAAGTTTTTTTTTCAACTTTTTCTCTCTTCTCCAAAAGTCTGTTTTTGGTGAAAACCGAAAATATGATTGAAATGAACAGCATTTTGATTGATGCTGAACATGTCGTTGAGCACATTTCAACTTTTCTCCTTTTCTCTTTTCCATTTGCCAATTGTATTGTTAACACTTTGAAACGTTGAAACCATCTTTTATCACTGTAATTGATCTATGAAAGTTATTCGCTATCACCTCGAGCCATTTACGGCATCACCTTGTTAGTACATGTGTTTACCAACTGAGCCATTTGTAATTACAATGACCCAGAGTTTCAATTAGACGCTGTTTCATGTTTTCCATTTTTTTGGGTAAAACTTTACATTCTTTGTGCAATTGACTCCAATAGGCCAGCTGACAATGTGCAAGCCCAAAGGCGTCGATTCGGTGTTGGCATAATCACAGTTTTTCGTTTACTTTTTGCACTTAAGAGACTCAATTTTATCATTACTTTTCACCTTGTTTGCTGTTGAGTGCACATTTCGTTACCTCAAAGACACTTTCCTGTTGAATTTATTTAGCACTTTTGGCGATAACTTTCGTGCTTTTGAATTGTTTCAATGGCCAACATGCAATTTTACGGCATTTTCATCTTTTCCCTTTTCTGGTTTCATCAAGTTTTTTTACTGCTCAAATGGCTGTAAGGTTTACTGAGGAAAAGGGAAAAAAGTTATTTATCTTTTGGTTCGTTTTATTTAGTGTTGAATATTTGATTAATTGATTTGAATTTGACTTTTTTTTGCGCTGCAATTTTTCTTGTGTTGACTTGCAACCATTTAGTAAGCTTAAATATTTTGATTGAGTTGATTAATTGATTAAAGATGAAGTGAAAAGTGTATTGAGCAAAGTGGCAAAAGAACTACAAAACCCACCAAAAAGTTCGGTGATTGATCAAGACACATGTAAAGATTGAAACGGGAAAATGATGAAACTGAATTGAAAAGGTAAATGAGAGTGTTGATGGTGATAAATGCATGTTAACCAAGTAATGAAATTAACTGCAGATCAATGAAAATGATGAGCAAATCAATTGGAAAAGCATTTTACTCAATTTAAACCAATGATGCTAATTTTCAATTTAAATCTTTTACCTTTTTTGATGGTTCAATTGAAGTAGTAAAAAGGGAAAAAGATGCCTTTGGCTTGAATGTCGTCACAGAAATGATTCTAATGGCATTTGGCTGAGAGCATTTAACACATAATCGCGTTGAGAGTTGACCCCTTAAAGTGGTAAAACATATCAAAATGATATTCACATTTAGATTCATTGTAAACAGAGTGGACATGGCGAGAAGAGAGAGAAGAAAAACTTTAATTTGACTTTGATGAATGCGTAAACTTTTGGTTATAATTATGGCCTCAATGAAGAGCGTAAATATGAAAGAGAGTGCGAAAGGGCACATATTTAATAAGCCAAGGAAAAAGAAGAAGAGAAAAGGTGAAAAAAAGGAAACCTGGAATATGAAGGGCGCTCTGAATCCAGCTTTGAATCTCTTCTTTTTTTCATCTTTTGCCTGTTCGCCTAAAGCCAAAATATCATCTCAATCAATCTCGCCTTGTGCGCTCTCTGGCTTTTCCTTTGGTTTCCTTTGGTTTCAATTTTTCCGCTCTTTCATTGCTCTTCACTTGATGATTTGTTTCTTTCTGCTTCGCCACGGTTACTTGGCCTCTTTGCAGGTAACAGTCATTTTGCTTTGGTGTAATTACAATCATGCTAATCAGAATGCACATTTACGACAACAATAGCAACAACTTTTTTGGCCAACAAAGAAAAGATGAAAACTAAAGTTGCCTAAAAATGATTAACACAGTTTAGAGACATTTTGCTTCTCGTTTCCTACGGAAATGATTAGGTCGTTGGGTTCGTTGGCAGTCGAGGAGGAAGCAAGGGCGTCAAGTTTAACAGCTTTTTTGCATCGTCTAATTATGAGTTTTACTTGATGCAAAGGAAGTTTAGTGTTGGCCTTATGGGATAATTAAGTTTACCTTTTGCTATGTTTTTCATGTCATTTATGAACTTTTAATGAACAGCAAAACAAAAGGATTGACTCGGTATTGAGCGTGCATTTCATCAACTTTTACCTCGCTTTTTTCATCATTTCAAAGTTTCAAGTTTCTTTTAATTGATATTTTCTGCTCATTCTATTCATGATCCATGAATAACAATAACCTGGTGTAAAATGAATAGAGTTGAGTCTTGTTCCTCTTCTTCTTTTCACCCAAATGATGATCATGATCATGACTTTGAATTTGCTCATTTATCATGTTACCTCCATTTACAAGTGATTATAATTTAACCTGATAATAATCATAATAATCGTTGTTGGCTGTGTTGAGTGAACACAATATTTTCTTATATTTTTTATACCTTTTCCTTTCCTTTGGTGTTTTTGAGGGTTTTGTGTGCTTTTCCCGTTCTCTTGTTTGTTTAATTTTTTGCCTCTTTTTACAGCTTCTAATTCGTGATGAATAGATGATGGAAACAAGTAAATTACCAAAATCAAATTATGATGAAAAATAATAAACCAGTCAACAGGGTAAAGTTGATTGTTATCAAAATATCATCATATTAGTTCACAACAAGAAAACTTTTTATTTTCTCTTCAGATATTAATATACGATAAAATAAAATTGCAAGTAAAAGGTAAGCGAATTTGGATCACAATCAATGGGAATTGAGGCTCAAAAATTAAGCTATTATAAGTTATTAATAAGAATTAAGTGTTGCACGTTTAGCGCAACAATTTATCAATTATTTTCATCCTTCATTATTGTATTTATTTGATGAAAAAAGAATGCAAATTTAAGAGTTAAACTTGAAAATTGGTTGAAAAAGGATTCGATTTTCAAACAAGCAGAACTTTTTGCAACTATAATATAAAGCCAAATGTTAATCGTTATAGTGATGCAAGTTTTTGTCTTTTATCTCGAGTTCCACTCTTCGATCAAATTTGCTTCCAAAAAGCATGAGGTTCTTTATGAAGCCTTTTGTGACTCTTATGAGTTCCTTGAAAGTAAAGTAGATTGGAATAGAACGAAATGTTCAAGATTTTTTTTAAACAAAATGGGCAACGAAACTTGCGAAACGGATCAGGAGAACCGAAATTGTTGGAAAACAAGATTTTCAGTGTATTTTGTTCTTCTCGTTTCGTTTTTGTTTTCGATGTTGATGAGTTTTTTCTAGCCAAC